AAAAAACAGAAAACAAAAAAAAAGAAAACTATACTTGCCAATATGATGAAGCACCAAACGCGAATCTACCAGCGAACAATGACCAACTCACAGCAAAAGACGAAATGACATTCCAACGAAGCGACTAGACAATATGATGAAGAACCAAATGCAATTATACCAGCGAACGACGCCCATGGGAAACAATGATACCGAATACAACTTCACCAGCAAACGGCGATGCAAAAAAAGCTGGTTAGTAAAGAAAAGACAAACAATATACAGTAACAAAAAAAAAAGCTGCACTTATCAATATGACGAAACACCAAATGCGACTCCAGAAGCAAACGAAGAAGCGACAATCCAATGACGCGCCGAAACGACAGAACGATACTATAAAAAAACCCGTTAGTAAAAAGAAAAAAAAAGAAAAAGCCAATTAAAAAAAAAAGCTATACTTATCTGTTTATATATAATGTTGATCTGTGTAACAGGGGGGTAGTGATATATCGCATATGCGAAAAAAGATAAAATTCTTTAATTTATCACAATCTAGATAAGTTTTTAACTATTTTAGTAAATTTAAATCACAAATAAAGTAGTCAGCTTTTAATCTTGCATGTAGTTTTTACTTTTTATATTTTATATATTTAAAGATTAGCAACTCACTGTAGTTACTATATTAAAAACTATTAATAAAAATATAAGCAAAGCCTCATTTTAATATCAAAAAACTAGATATTTATTTAATCTTGACAAATAATCTTGATATTTATAAAAGTTTTATAAATTATAATATATTTTATATAAAATTATATTTATAAATATTATTATATATATTTAAAATAAAAAAACCTTATTTTTACTAAGAAAAAATCTTAAAGATATATAATAATATAAAAATTGATAGATAAAAATATAATAAAAATAAAGTAAAATAAATGCTTAATATTTTTACTATATAAATAGTTCGCTATTTTTATAGGAGTATTAAAAAATTAATTCATTATATCTTTATTCAAAAGACAATTTCATATACCTTGTAATGATTTTCTACTATAAGACTCGAACAATCACCATCTTCATTATTTATATACTTTCCATTTTCTATTTATTCTAAATCTACTTCATTTTTATATCTTTTCAGTTCAATAAAATCAACTTTATTAGTAGATTTAAGCTTTATTTTCCACATAGTATAAGGACTAAACATTAATTCCCCTTTCTTAATTTTTTGTATACTTCATTGTATCTGAGTGTTTGTCCGTAATTATCTTTTTCAAAACTATAATCAATATCATATTCTTCATTTGCCATCACATAAAACTTATTATTATATTTATAATATGAATTGCCCAAATGCGTTATTTTAACATCAAAGTATTTCAATTTATTATCAAGTTCACTTTGCTTAGTTTCATCTTGTTTAACTTTAAATTTAATACCTATCTTATTAAACTTTATTGTATTTTTATCATCATGATAACTTTTTGCTATATCTGCCTTTATTGTTACTGCATCTCCACTCAACAATGTTGATATTTCTTGACTATATGTTTCAGATTTCCAAACAAAGAATAGTTGTGTAGATTCATATTCACTATTAAATATTTCATTTTGTAAATATTTATCTTCATTATTAATAGTTATCTTGCGTTCTTGAACTTTTGAATGCATGCTTTGTATTTGCTATACAATGTTATTAATGACTTCATATCTTTATACCAGTACGATCATGTTTTGTATAACATGAAATGTGGTAGGGATGGTTTCCTTCAACTTTTTTGATGTCACTTATCCTGTTTTTTGCAAAATTCTTTTTTAGTAGGAGTAATGATTTTCATTTATTTGTTTTTGGAAGAAGCTAAAATTTTTAACTTACCATATATGTAAAAGATATAATTTCATATGCAAATTGCTCACTATTGTAACGAATTAATTTTATAATCTTACCCTTTTTGGTGTAATTGATTATTTAACCAAATTAGTATCATGATTGTTTGAGACCTCGAAGGAGGCAAAGTGCATATTGACATAAGGCTAACACGATAGAGTGGTGCCTCTGATATCATAAAGTAGGTTCCAGAATATGTTCTCTTTCATATTAATCGAAATGTATAAAGTAAGGCATTTATTTTAATAAACAGGAGAACCTCATTCTTATAATAAAGTAACTTGGACATAATAATATTCTCTCTTTAATTTCACACCATCATTAAGTCGCCCTAATGGAATTACTATGCTCTATAGAAGTCTTTTATTATTCAATCCACATAACTTCTAGTAGCAGTTGGAGCTATACTGTGTATTTATTATGCATCGCTCTCCCAACCAACCGTTACACTATGATACGCTAATTATTAATTTCGAAATTCATCATTATAATGCAATGTATTAATGTTAATTTAAAATTTTATGATGCAATGATATTAATTTAAAATTTTATGATGTGAATCTGTTACTGTATTAATCGAAT